TCCCAGTTAAAACCCGATTCATTAAATCAGCTATCTAACTGATGGCTGAAGAAGATTATTCATATTCCAATGGAAACAAAAGCAAAACTCCTATCTACATTTTCTTCAAGGATTGCAGGTATCATTTCGATTATTTTATGCCTTTTCATTTCTTTTTCCTGATTAGTTTGGTTTGATAGTTAAAAGGTTCTGTTGAATTTAGCAGACAAGCAATGGCATATATTTTCGATAAGCAACAAAGCTTTTACTCTCATCCATCGGCTAATCTAACCTTATTATTCAAGCTAGACCAGTTCAGAATTTATGTGGTCTTTGCCTGCAAGAGCCATTATTCAAAATATTTTTTATTGCAATTTGGACAACCAATGCTTGGATTTGAATAGATGTGTAAAACCAATGCTTGGATTGTCTTTTCTATGGGCAGGTTTGTTTTAAATTTGGACAAACTTGGCTTAGAAATAGCGTCGATTGCATTGCCTGCAGCACTGGCTTTGACAGCTGATCCAATTGCTTCTCTAGTTGACACAGCATTCATTGGTCAAATAGGTACTTTGCTTCTTATTCTTTTCATTTTGAACTGTGCATATGTTCTTCCATCCGAAACAAGTATTTTTGTTTTTGCTTTGGGTAACAAAAACAAATTTGATTGAAAAAATTCAAGTTTGTTTCTTTAAATTATAAGGATGGTGATAAAATGAAATATAGTGTCTACATGAGAGGCTAATGTGTAAACATATCCACATTCACAGTCCACTAATAGCCTAGTGGTTAACAGAGATGTATCTCTTAACCCTATCCTTCAAAGTTGACCAATTACCACCTGCTAAATATTAGTCTTCAATCTGAAATGAAATTTTGTGGCTGAACCTTGTATCTTTGTTAAAATTTACAGTTGTGGAAATTTAATATCCAAGTTGTCTTAATGTTTAAAGGTCCAGTGGAGCTTGCTGCTGTAGGAGTTTCTATCGCTTTGTTCAATCAAGCATCAAGAATTGCAATATTCCCTCTTGTTAGTGTCACAACCTCTTTTGTTGCTGAAGAAGATACTATTGGAACAGCGAGTCCCGAGGCAAACCAGAACGATTACCTTGAAACAGGTTCATCAATCAATGGTGAAACTAAACAGTTGATCCCAGAAAGGGGTATGCCTCATGCCTTTTTTTTTTTTGGTTACAATGCTACATCTTTTTTCCACAATAAACTCAGCATGCATTCTGTAAAGACTTACAGAATATGATTTCATCAAGCTTTCCTCTTCATTACAAGATATTCTTTTACTGGTTTATGAAAACTTCTTACATGATAGTTTTTTCTTCTTCCGTTTTCTTTGTCAGGAACTGATCAGAATGCATACAACTCAAAACCAGTTGGTGCAAGCTTTGAAATAGTTACAACCAATCTTCAAAAGAGGTACATCCCATCAGCGTCATCAGCAATGGTTATTGGCAGCATCCTTGGCCTCATCCAAGCCATATTCCTCATATCAGCAGCAAAACCTCTATTGAACTTTATGGGGGTCAGTTCTGTAAGTTAATCATCTTTATGCTTTTATTTTATTTTATTTTATTTTATTTTATGTTTCATTTTGACATACATTTTACTTAAGAATTTGTTGTACCAAGCGCTAAAATACTACTATAACTTCTAAGAACAGAAAGAACTATTGTTTGTTTAGGATTCCCCTATGCTAAAACCTGCACAGCAGTACTTGATGCTGAGGTCGCTTGGTGCTCCTGCAGTTCTTCTTTCACTGGCTATGCAAGGGGTCTTCCGTGGGTTCAAGGATACAAAAACTCCTTTATATGCAACCGGTATACCTTAATGAAGCTGCACTTTAGATTCGATGCCATCTTTTTCAAATAAATATAGTCTTGATCGTGTTCTAATCAATTGTCTGTTTTAATCTAGTGGCAGGAGATGTAACAAATATAATTTTAGATCCAATATTTATGTTTGTTTTCCGTCTGGGTGTCAATGGTGCAGCTATTTCTCATGTTATATCTCAGTAAGTTTTGTTGAACTCATCTCCATATGTTTTCGGTCCTCTTGTGGGTTTTCTAGAATTCTGCACTGTGTGTACCAGCATGCCTCTTATCATTGATATGTTCATTATAGGTACTTAATATGTGTCATACTCTTGTGGAGATTAATGGCTCAAGTTGATCTATTACCCCCAAGTATCAAACATCTCCAATTCAGTCGGTTTCTTAAAAATGGTGAGGATTTAATTCTTTAATAAGCAGTGGTGACACTTTCATGCATGTTTTATACAATCTAGAACTTTGCTTTTGTTCTGAGGAGCTGTACTCCTTAGGCCTTGGTTTTAGTGAGCAGAAAACGTCAGAAGCATGACTTTAAAATGCTGAGAATACAGCATAGGAAATTTGAATAACATCCACTGAAGTATTTACTAACACGATTAAAATAGCAAGTTCTTTCAAATTTATATTTATAGCTGAATAAATTTCAGTACATGTTGAGAGAGAGTAGCATGAATTAGTTGATACCCCATTAGTCCTTTCTTCACTCCAGGTTTTCTTTTATTAATGAGGGTCATTGCTGTTACATTCTGTGTAACTCTGGCTGCATCATTGGCTGCGCGGCAGGGACCGACACCCATGGCGGCATTTCAGGTCTGCTTGCAGGTTTGGTTGGCAACTTCCCTTCTAGCTGATGGACTGGCCGTTGCTGGACAGGTTGGAAAACATTACTTTAATAAATGAAACTACTGCAATGATACACCAAATTAGTTTTAAGACAAAGACCAAGAAGATGAAAATCACAGAAGCACATTGTTTGATCAGCAATTAAATTCTTCTTAAATTTTTTGTGAAACTGAGTTGAACTTTCCTAAGCTCAAATCTTTCTGCAGTGAATGGTTTTTAAATCAATAAAAGAACTTATTTTAACAGCCCCTATTTGATTTGTATGTGTTATGACAATTATTTCAGTGTTTCAGTTTCTTTTCTATGGACTGAATAGGTTATAATCCCTCCCCACTTTCAGGCAATACTTGCTAGTGCATTTGCAAAAAAAGACTATGACAAGGCAACAGCTACGGCATCACGAGTGTTACAGGTGTTTAATAATATTTCTGAAATGTCAAATATGTGTTCCATGTGATGTTGGTTTCTCTAAAAATTCATAAATACATTTAAACCGCAGTTGGGATTGGTTTTGGGGTTGATGCTCGCAGTCATACTTGGAGTAGGGTTGCAGTATGGGGCAAGGCTATTTACAAAAGATGTCGATGTCCTACGTCTTATCAGCATAGGCATTCCGGTTAGCCCCCTTCTCTCCAAAAACAACACAGTATTTCTGGTTACTTTTCTTCAATCCCAAATGACATTTTGAACTAACTGTCTTCCAATTCATATCAGTTTGTTGCAGCTACTCAACCCATCAATGCCTTGGCATTTGTTTTTGATGGTGTCAACTTTGGAGCATCTGATTTTGCATATTCAGCCTTTTCCATGGCAAGTCTTTAGTCCCTTTCTTGCAATACAATTAATAATGTGAACTCATATCTTTTTAACTCATATAATGCTTTTTTTTTTTTTTAAATTTTAAAAAACTTAAAATTTGCATTATGTCACCAACTTTGGGTTGTTTTGTACGCTAAATGTCTCCAAATTTGAAAACTCTTTTCTCTTCTTTGCTGTGGAGCCTAAAGGAAAAAGACTACATTCAATTACTTTGTACAACGGTAAAAAAAAATTACTTTGTACACAAGTTAACTTGATGATCATCATTCTCTCCAGGTTGTGGTGGCTATTGTCAGCATCTTTGTTTTGTTTATTCTCTCCTCTACCAATGGATTCATTGGAATCTGGGTTGCTTTGACCATCTATATGAGTCTTCGAGCATTTGCCGGATTTTGGAGGTATGTTTTACAAAATTTAGTACATACGAGCATGCTCACACACACACAAAATTTTCCCATGCCCGAACGGAACATTTTGCTATGGAATTGCAGGATAGGGACAGGAACAGGACCTTGGGAATTCCTACGGGCGTAAAGGGACGCTGGTTTACTCAATTGGAAGTTCAAGAGTTTCTTTGCTTCCATTGTTGCATGATTTCGACTTGATTGCTTGAAAATTTTTACCTTGAGATGTTCCAAGAAATCTCAGATTACCTTGTTACATGAAGAGCAATCATACAAGGAGAAAATTTGCTCGTTACATATAATATCAGGGGAATCTTCAATGAAATTCTCTGCAATGCATTTTGTTTTACTACAAAGCTTAGGAGAGTATTTTCAAGAAAGGATAACACATTCTCTGTATATATTTTTTTTCATACAATTGCAACCTAATAAGTGCCTAAACAGTCAAATAGAAATTGAAGGCCTATGCAATTCAAATGGAACTATTTTGGCGTCATTTTAATGTGGGGATTCAACAGACATTTGAAGTTAAGACACTTCATGTTCGGTGACTAGGATTGGATTCGATACATATAAACCTTGGAATAATAGAGAGGGGATTTCCAGAGAAAGGGGAGCTGTTTTTTTAAAAAAAAAATTAATAAATCTTTAGAGTGATTCTAGACCAGTACAAGGAAATGGTCCCACATCACATCTAATTATCAACAGGAAAAAAAAAAATTAATAAATCTTTAGAGTGATTCTAGACCAGTACAAGGAAATGGTCCCACATCACATCTAATTATCAACAGGAAAAAAAAAATTAATATAAAAAAATGCCACATCCCGCGTCTGCTTATCTCAATGAAAAGTGAATGAAAGAATCCATATAAAAAGAAGTTTCCACCTCTCAAATCAAAAGTGCTGCACCCACCATACAATTGGGATCCACCTTACCATAGATTCTCATGTTTTCATGAAACATGGATAAGGAAACACACAAAAGGAGAGGAAAAGATAATGCAGAGACAATCAAGGATGATAAATAATTGGGATATTGGAGCAATAATTTAGACGATAAGAAAATGTACTTTACATCAAGGAACCAAGTGTCCCAGACTCTATAAGCATCTGCCTCTAAAATAATTCATTCAGATATGGGACACATCTGCAGTGCCATCTTTCTCTTTCTTGACAGAATATGTTCTAGTTCGTACAAGGACCATCTCAAAGCATTGATAGAACACAGGGATAAATAAAAAAAAAAGGAATACATTTCTTCCTCAATTCTGTTTTACAGTATTACAGATGTATCTGAGATTGGAAAAAGGAAAAAAGTTCCCGATAATTATTCGGAAAACCATACTGGCAGGGCAAATGCTTCTGCAGTTTTTGCTTCCCCTTGATGAAGCATGTAACATATTTAATGAACAAATAATTTAAGGGGGAAATGAAATAATTAAATTATGATAGACTTGGGAGAGAAGTTCCACAACCTGGGATGGTCTTCGCGTAACCCAAATGGGAATTTTCATCCCTTCTTGACTTCTGTAAAATTAATAAATTTAAAAAATGGGGTATACGATGATGATACTTTTCTTTTGGCTTTGTCCAGTCCTTTCCTTCTATTGTTTGTTACTGTTACCTTCTTAACTGCCACTTTAGCCACCAACTAAAAGAACATATAATTCTGTTGTAACTAGATCTCAGTAAAAATGGTTTCATTTTCACTGTGCAACAAGTTGATGTACCTGCAACTGCTGAATCCAAGCTTTGGGAACTGAATGATCATTATTTTCACTGGGAGGTATTCAATTAGAGCAATCAATGGACAGCAGTGTGCCTGATTCTGGAGCAGATGCTACTTCCTTTACGTCATATGGTGATTCCTTCACCAGAGATTGAACCCAGGAAACATCAGGCTCTTCCACATTATGTTCACCAGAACAGAATTTGGTTAGATGGCCCAGTTCATCTGTTTGAACAGACCAATCTAGTTTCCCATTGGCAGACTCCCATTTGGACAAAGAAGGTACAGGGGAGCCAACAGCACCATTAGATCCAAGTTCATGAGGGAGGTTAGATCCAACATCACGTGCGCTGAAGCTGTAAAGCTGTTGCAGCTTCTGCTTCTCATGCTGAGCAAGAGCAGAAACCCTAGAGCCTATTGGAGATAGAGGCTCTATGCTTCGATATGACATCATCCTCGGTGAGGAAAAATCAAATGAAGCTTGCAAGAGATTCTGCTCAAAAGTCCTTGGGGAAAATGCATTTGTTCTGATAGGAGATAAAATTGTTTGTTGCTGCTGGAGTTGATTGCAAACTGCTGGTTTATTTGACGGGGAGAAAGCATATGAATTCACAAGATGGTCAGTAAATCGAGGGGATGAGACCTGGGCAGAGAAAAGCTCATTTAGATTTGAAGGTGTCAAGGTTTCTGGATGGAGAGGACGACTCACAGAGGAAGTATTGATGTATGACTGCGAGAAGGAAGACACATCATGAAGGGGCTGCTGTTGTTGCAGTTCAAAATTATGCAACAGGTTAACCTCTTCAGTAGGAATATCTTTTGCATTAAGAGAAGATCTCAAACGGCTTGCTCGAAGATTGCTCTCTGGGAGATGCAAACTGGGGATATTTTTCTGAGGCCATGCCATGCAAGAGTCAGAAATACCATTACCAGGAGATATGGGTGGAGAAAAGGGAGAAAGTAGCATAGCCTGCACTGCTTTGGGGGAGCCAGGTAGGAGGTTCAAGGCTGCAGCCATGTCCATGAAAGCAGCAGCAGAGGTGGCTGAATGAGGGGATGGCATGGCAGATCCAGTAGAAACATACACAGGTCGCATTTCCTCAGGTTTGTGGGCAAAGAAGCAAACCTGGCGTAAGCAACTCATGCCATCTTTGCAGAGTCGAGTCTTATATTGTGCTGGATGTAGCCAGCACTCAAACACCCCATGAGCATATTCACATAAATCTCCACGCTTACATGTTCCTTTTCGATAATCCAGGCATGGCATACAGCTATAGTGGAACTTCCTCGGGTCCCTTCTCCTTGCATTCTCTCCAGGATGCACAAAAGGGCATTCAGTCCAATCATGTGAATAGGCTCGTGAACAAGGCCGGATCTTGAATGAAAACATCCGAAACTCATCCGTAGCATAAATACTATTCTTGATGTTGGGAAGTGAAGGATTGACAGGGTATTCTTTCTTTTCAGGTGCTGAAGAAACATGAATATCATCAGAATTACATGTTGAATCAGGGATGGATGATGGTAAGGAAGCATTTTTCAGAGACGATGACAGAGATGGTGAACTAGATCTAAAGCAAACATTTGAAACATGGAGATCCAGCTGACAGGCTGAGCCATCATATTGTAAGAGCTCTTGAAGCACAACCTTCAGATTGGAACAATTCAGAGGAGCAACAATAACATCAAAAGGGCAGCATCCATTGGCATCAATAGCATTGGGATCTGCACCAGCCAGCAGAAGAATCTTGACAGTGTCAACAGCGTTTTCAGACACACCAGAAGCAGCACAGTGAAGAGCAGTGCTCTTATCTCCACAGGGAGAGCAATTTACATCTGCCTCTGAAAGAGAAAGAATCAGTTTCACAACATCAACACTACCATATTTAGAAGCAACCATTAATGGGGTCCTATGCTCAAGAACCATTCGTCTCGAAGCCCTGTCGCGACCATACCAGAGTCCAATTTCATTAACAATAGAAGCCTCACTAATAGATTGCTTAAAGCCCTCAACATCATTATCAGCCGCAAGCTCAAGCAAACTGCAGAAAGAATGTTCAGTTTCAAGTACTTTGATCGGATTAGCCATGGGTTTATTCACAGACTCGGTTTCCTGAGAAGATAATGGAACTGGAGACTCAGGACTTAACTGCTCCAGGACACCACACATGCTTCAATTAATCAAAAAATTTACCTGAAAGAGACACCATATCCAAAGAGAATCATATACCATAATACCAAAGAAAATAGAGAGCCATATACTTCCCACAAGAATAACACATATGAAAACAATTTGGAATTGTAATCTGATAATTGTTCTTCAAAAGATCCCTCTGCAAAAGAGAAAAGAATATACTTTGGTCCATATTCCAGTACCTTAAAATAATTCCTAGAGAAAGAGGTAGAAATCAGTAACAAAAGAGACTTGAAAACACTCCCCAGAAGACCAGAACGGTCAAGGAAGAACAAGAAATTCCTCGATAATTATTTACAAATATGGAAAGGAAAATTAGCTGAAATTATAATGTGCTTAACTTGGAATTCCGAGACAATTTAAGGTTTGGACCCAAAATCGCTAGAGAATCTCGTTATGACAGGAATATCATAATAACAATAAAATTGCTTAATAAAACCAAAAGTTACCATTTCAAGCCAGCTTACACAAAAGTCCAAGATCAAACCAACATACATTTTTCCTTTTTTCTCTAATTTTTCAGAACGTGTAATCAAAACAATCAAAGTGGAGCACATGAAAGTTCTATAAATAAAAAAATAAAAAATAAAGTTGTAAAAAATAGAGAACAGAAAAATATAGCAAGCCTATGGTGTGCTCTGCTTAGTAAGTTTGAATGTTCAATTATATGCAAATGGGTTTTTTTGCTTTCTTGTTCTGTCTTTTTTCCGCCTTGATATTAGTTTCAGTCAGTTAAACAACGAAAATTCGAATTTGAAACCTTCTGTATTTTCCCACACTTTCTCAGTAACAAAACGGAAACCGAACGCACGCCAAGCACAATGTAACCAAAATTGAAATCGCCAACATACAAAACCAGCCCCGGTGATCAAGTTCCAAAATGTACATATCGACCACTCAATAAACACTATAATTTGCCATCTAATCCATAAATAAATAAATAAATAGAGAGAAACGAAGATGGACTTACAGAGTGCACAAACGCCAGACCCAAGGAACTGTACGAACCGCATTTAGCGAAAGGCGAAGTAAAAGCAGAGAACGAAAACTAGTGCTGGCAACGCCTCAAGTTCCCGGCGAAGATGACAAAGAGAAGAAGCTTGCGAGCAGAGAAGCTCTGTTCCCATGGCGCAGAGAGAGAGAGAGAGAGAGAGAGAGAGAGTAACGGAGTTTTCAAATGAAGGTGAAATGGAAAGAGTGTGAGTTTGGGTTGAATATATGTGATGGCATGGAGGAGTTGGGGGTTGAAATTTTTGGGGTGGGTTGGGAGTAGAGGTGACTGGCTGAAGGGGTAGACGGTGAAGCAGAGTAGGTGAGAGGGAATGAGGTTTGGTAACCGGATAAAGCGGTGGACCCTCCTAAATGTTGGATTTGATGGGTTTTGGGCCTTTTTCTCGATTTCTTCATTCGGATTGGTGGAGGAGCGGGACTCGGGAGCCCTTTTGTATTGTATTCGCTTTTCTTCTTTTCTTCTAATTTTTTGGAAGGGTGTGTAACATTCCAATTCAATTCGCCCAAAATGACAAATCCAATTTAATTTTAATCAGTTTTGATAATTTGGGGATTAGATTGGATTGCTAATTTTTAAACATGACATGATTGGATCGGATAATGGATTTGTTTATGAGAATCCAATCCAATCTAGTTAATTTCATGCTTATTTTGCTTGAGTAAGTATTTGTAATTGAACATTTTATGAACATTTTAAGTCACTTGATGTAGTTATGTTTAATATATTATAGCAGTCCCGATCTCTTGGACCATAGGAGTCCAAGAGATTATGGTCACCCACCGTTGGATATTAATCTAATTGTTCAAAAAAGTTTCTTAAAAGGAGTGCAAGAGTAAGTGAACCGTTGAATTTACATCCAACGGTGAGTGACCACAAATCTCTTGGACCATAGGAGTCCAAGAGATTATAGTCACCCACCGTTTGATATTAATCTAATGGTTCAAAAAAGTTTCTTAAAAGGAGTGCAAGAGTAAGTGAACCATTGAATTTACATCCAACGGTGAATGACCACAAATCTCTTGGACCCCTGTAGTCCAAGAGATCCGGACTGATATTATAGAATTAAAATAATTTTCTCTAGCATTTCATCTTTATTTTACATTTTACATCTATTAATATGTTTGATTATATTAAAACTAATGTTAAATGTTAAATGTTTCATATTTCATTATTGTCTTTTTTCATTACCAAAACTGATCATCCAATCCAATATCAATGGTATCGGATTCAATTGGATTTAAACATTTGATCTAATCAGATTGGATTGGAAAAATCACAATCCAATCTATATTGGATTGCATGTGAATTAGCTAAATTGTATTGGTTTCAAACCGACACACACTCCTAGTCGAAATTTTGTATTCGCTTTCGTCTGAACGTGTAAAGAGTTATTCGGGCTCTAAAATGGTGGATGGAACCCTACCGAGGAATATTTAGGGTACCTTTCTCAAAATATGAGCTTTAAAAAAACAAAGAAATAATTATATTTATAAATTAGGCACCTACACCAAAAGCCATAAGGGCCAATACAAATAGCGAAAAATGGTTAACATAAACATAGAAAGCATAATAAACATGGTTAACATAAACATGGAAAGCATAATAAACACGTAGGGTTAATCCATATTCATGAATTGCAATGCCTAAAACTACTAATACAACTACAAATTTTAAACTCTCACAAGTAGAAACTACAAATAGAGACTACTACAAACAAACACCCAACTCATAAAGAGTTGATGCAATTATTACAATATGAGCGGATTTGGAGACAGACGTGGTGGCTGAGCGGCTTTTACTCACTTGTGTGTTCACAATAAGAGCTTCTATACACAAAACACTATATTCATTATTAACCTATTTTGTGTTAATGAATGTTTATGTTATGTTAGTTTATTTATTTATTTATGAACATTATTGTTGAAAACAAAACTTAAATTTTGACGAGATTCTAAAAACATTTTATTTCATAGACATGATTGCCTTCAAGGGTGTGCAACTGGTGCCACTACACAGGGCCCCATAAATTTTGTCACGTGTATAGATTATATATGTTATATATATGCCATTGTGCAATATATTTAGACAATTGTGTGTCTAGTAAAGTTAGTTTGCCACCCATGTACTTTAGTTAGTGATACTATGACTCGAACAAAAACCATTTTAATACTAAAGGTAAGTGTCTCACTATCACACAACCGGTACCCAAGCACATGTCGTGCCACTAAAGGAGCATGCTAGTTAGGGGTGAACTTGGTTCAAGAACTGACAATTTTTTAAGCAAGCATAAATTGACCGACATTTGGCGATATTCTCATATTTGGGACTAGTCCCGTCCTGACAAGAGTCGATTAACCATAGATCAATAGGACTGACAAAGCGGTTAGTGTAAAAAAAAATTGGCAACACCGAATTGGGCCGTTTTGTGCCCAAATTTGTAATTATTTGGGTGTTTTATGTTCCTTATTATTAGCTAGCATGCCTTTTGAACCCAAGCATATATTCCTTGTTTAAAGAATCAAATAACTTCATAGGGCAAAAAAAACAAAAACTCTCATTGCATCAAAGAGATATACATGAACAAAATTACACCTTCACTACTAAAACCACTCAAAAGAAAGGCCTCAAATTTTGTAAACTTTGCACATGAAACAAAAATGATTAACTACAGTAAACCCAGGGCCGGCCCTGACTTTTGGGTGGCCCTAGGCAATAAACTAAATGAGGCCCCTTCCCTTAGTATACAATTGCGAAAAAAGAACAAATAAAATGATTTTATGTAGAGCGTAGTGTGTAAATAAAAAAGGTAGCATGCATTATAATAGAACATATCTCCGTAAAAAAAACTTCTGATTAAATATTTAATATCATGAAGGAAATTACAAATTTACCAACCAACATTCCAGCAAACCAATAATGGGAACATGTCAAGATACATTAAAACTAAGTTTTTGTTCAAAATGCTAAACCCTTTCCCTTAAGATTGGCTTCTGGCTTCAAGCTTCATCACATGAGTTTAGCAAAATCCTCTTTGTGGTCTGCAGAAAGAATCATACAACATAAGAAAAGTAACAAATGGTAGCACAATTGGACCAAGAAACTACAAAAAGTAACAACATACATATTTTTTAAGACATAAACCTGGTTAAAGCTTATATAAAAAAGCTTCAATCTTGCAGAGCTTTATTCAAGCTAACTGTGTTAAAACTAAAATTTGAGAAACTCTACTCCGTATCTCCACCTGATTCATGTGCATCTGCAATGATAAGATACATGCAATTCAATCAAGTATTCATAAATTTGATTACCACTATGTATCTCTCTGTGTTTTGTTCCTATTGGAAACTGAAACAATAGTTTGTTGGGTAGGAACAAATATAAAGAAAAAAGTATAAATCTGATTACCTTTTCAATTTCTCATGCTCCTCCCCTCTTGGTCACCATCAATCTCAAAGACAATTTGTGAGCTTTTTAGTGTGAGATTGAAACTTAGGGTTACAATATGATATGAGAAAAGAGGGATGAGAGAAACTGAAAATAAAGGATATGAATTGAAGGGAGATGGGGAAAACATAGGAAAAATATGATGGTGGATTATTAAGAGATCAGTAGATTAAATAGAGTTCCATGGAGAAATAACTAGGAGAGGGGTTGTTGCTCTTGCTGGCTGTGTAGCCTTGGAAACGAAGAGCTTCTGGATGGGAAGAGGAATAGCCTTCCTCATTCAATTACATCGTTGACTTTTTTTTTTGTTAATATATATTTTTTTAAGTTTGACAATAATATAAAAAAAAAATTTGGGGCCCCCTTAATTGGAGGCCCATGGCCAAGGCCCTTCTCGCCTACCCCCAGGGCCGGCCCTGGAGGAACCTAATGGTACGAGTAGAACTTTACTAAACCTAAGAAGAAGAAAAAAAACTATGGTCGCATAAAAGATGACTCGGTTACAATTATCATTTAAGAGAATATCCTGAATAATAATATCATGGGGGCATCTTATGTGGCATAAAAAATTAATTAAAACTAATTTAAAAAATGAATTTCCTTTTAAAAAAATTACTTATTATAATTATTATATAAAATAAAATAAAAAATAAAAAAACCTAATCTAGAACCCTACCCACCACCAACCCACCCCTAGCCTCAATTCTCCATCCCCGCCATAACTCACAAGCCCACCCTCATCCCAGCCACCACACCATACCTCATTTGCCTTTCAATAGCCTCCTAATTATATCATCCAATAATACACCCTTATCCATCATCCCCTCTATTATGATAATCATCATCTCTACCTTTTTTGCTCCAACCAATGCACCAAAGTCTCGAAAGAACCAAGATTGAAATTCTCAAAAATTGAAGAACGAGAGATGTTGGAGCAAATATTCTTACAATGATACTATCTTCCACAAGTTCTCGGCTTTACTCTACACACATGATAAATGAACGAAATCTTTAAGCAACACTATTCTGAAATCGAATGAGAGAGGGTAGGGTACTTGCAAAAGGTACTCCGACACTCAAGTTAGCTTTTGTATGTATTTGAGTGCACAAGTTAATTCGAAATCGCATATCTTCTTCTGGTTGTGAAACTTCATCTTTATACCTGGTGAAAGCCTTGGGATGCAAGCTCCACTTTGCACATCATATGCCCACTTTCGCCATTTCAGGTCACTGAGAGTTATACGGGATCAACTATCAACCATGTTTATCTTGTTCAGCAATTCATGCGGATATAGAAGTATAAATATTTTGGGTGGTGCACATTCGAACTTATGTTCGGTGGTGCACATCTGAACCAACATTGAGTTAATGCACATCTGAACCAGCATTGAGTTAATGCACATCTGAACTAGCATTGAGTTTATGCACATCAGAACCAACATTGAGTTAATGCACATCCGAACAAGCATTGGGTTAATGCACATCCGAACCCGTATTGGGTTAATGCTTATCTGAACCCGTGTTTAGTTAATGTGCATTTGAACTCGTGTTGAGTTAATGCACATCCGAACCCGTGTTGAGATAATGCGCATCTAAACTCGTGCCAGTTGCGTCTTAATCCAATCCCGTGACGTGGCGGATAGGTGACGAATTTATTTTGCTCCCACATTGCCCCAATTTTTTCCTCTTGCCACGTCATTTGTGAATGGTAGAAGGAAAAATAAATTGCTACTTACCCTTGAATTTTCTGCCAC